ATGTCGCACCTGCACCTGCCATGGATGGCGGGAAGCCGGAAGAGAGGAATACCTGGGATAGGACCTACCCATAGGCCCCTAAGTAGTTCCTTTTTGTGGTTTATATTTAGAATCCTATAAGGTAATCCCAAAAGGAGCTACTTAGGGGCCTATGGGTAACCCTAAGCCCTGAACCCTAGGTTTTGTGGTTTAGGGTTGGGGTTTAGGTTCTGGGGTTTTAGGGTTTAGGGTTTGGGCTTAGGGTATTTGGGGCTCAGGGTTTTGGGACCCAGCACCCCTGAACTAAACTCTGGGCCCTCAAACTCAAAGTAATCATTCAAAGCTTAGGCCGACAGCTTCAAAGCTTGTCCTTACTTATGCTAAACTCGGCAAAGGTGCACATGGACCTTCGGGGTCTGTAAATCTCTCCGAGATGGGTGAAAGCTTAGCCCCAAAGCCTATGAAGCCTAAACCCTGTTATTCTTATGGTGCCACAACTAGCCACAATCCCGCTGGAACAATTCAGTCGTCGATCTGTACTGATCCTAAACCCTTATATGTCTAGCTACGCAGAACTCGAGGGCACGTTGAGCTTCACCGCCTGAAGCCTAGCATCTGCAGAGCACACGGTCTTGATTTTTGATTGCTCAAGTGCAGCAGCTGGCATCTCGAACCCCTGGCAGCCGAAGAAAGCGTGAAGATCACGCACTTGAGAGTGCTTGATGACGATGGCAGTCAGGATCAGCTGTGGTCTGGTTTTGCTTTTTGGGGTGCAGGCGCTGGTCCAGCCACCGGCAAAACCCGGACAGGTGCATGTATTGGGATGCTTCGGTGGCTCAAAGCCCAATTCAGCTCGGTGTCAGGACGGCAAGTGTCTCGGTTCTTGTTGAGGAACCTTCACATCAGTTACTCTTATATTGATCTCAGCAGCAGCCGGGTCTGTAGTAACTGCAGTAAACAAGTCATACCTTGCTTGACTGGTCTGGTATCTTATTTGGTTGCCTGACAAGAACCGAGATGCTTCTACAGATGCGTCCACCCCGACTCCAACCGCACAGAGTTGGTTTGCAAGGAAGGAGAGACTCTACACATGGTTGGTGTCAGTGCCGGCGGCATAAGCTGGGCATGCCAAGACCTCATCTCGTGTCCAGCAACTTGGTAGCAGACCCGAAACCCGAAACCCTAAACCCGAAACCCATTGTTCATGGGGTCTTAGTGCCGGCTTCCTAACTCGGGAGGTCAGCCTTTCTCGGTTCTGTGTAGAACAGTGGACAACTAAGGTGAAACCAACCTATATCGGATGCAACTGCACCGTTCAAAAGACTTGCATTTGGGGCTGTGCTTACTGGGGCAGCTCGGACTTGCACTGCCACGCAAGCAGCCTCGAATACCTTAGGCCTGGACGCATTCTGCAGTGCGCTGAGGGAAAAGATCCCAAGAAGTTGGAAGCGAAAATGTACAATTGGGTCTGCTAGTTTCAGCCGACGGCACATGGATGCCTTCGGATGTACAGTCTGTGCATGATTGCGCCAACCAGCGCGCATTTTCAGTTTTGCTGGACCTTACGTCTAAACCCCTCGGGATCATCACTTGCTGATGCACGCCTTGAAGGACAGAACTTCTTTTGGATTGCTGATGCACCGTCACGCAATCATGTCTGGCCTGCTTCAGCCGGCTGTCTGTACAGACTGAGCTCCTTAGGGATGCTGGCAGACCTGCTGACGGCATGCGCAGGAAAAGTTGAAGCTCTCGATGCACAGAACTTGGCGCTAAATTGTTGGATCCTCTGTTTGCCTGGTTGCATGGCTTGTGCCCGAAGCACCTCGCAGAGCTGGGTCTCTTGTAGGGTTCAGGGCTGAAGGTGCAGGGTTTATTTGATTGATTAATTATCCCTAGGGCTCCAGTTACCTAAATAGTGGGTTACTAACCGTATATTATGTACCCCAGTAACCCACTATTTAGGTAACTGGAGCCCTAGGGTATGACATTATAGGGTTTGGGATTGAGGGTGTCTTTCACCATGGAAACCTGAAAGCATGGACTGAAAGAAAGGATCGTGAAATGACGGCCTTTTGGCACTAAACTACATCTTACGAGGATCCTCTCATCGCATTAGAAAGTTACGTCCCCTGACTCCCTAACACCTCCGGCATGCCACGCCCCAAACCCCCAGTAGGACTGCGACCCAGTACAAGGCCCTACGAGAATTCTGCGAAGCCTGTTGTAGCCTGTTCCATCCTGGCGTGTGCTTGTCGAGACATGTGCAGTCCGTTCACCCTGCCTTGGATTCAGTTTCCCTGCCATTGGTTTAAGGTGTTCATGAAGTCGTCTTGAGGTCACCCACATTCCTGCCATGTAGTGCCTGTAGCAGGTCCAAGCACTTCAGCTGTAAGTCCTTCAACTCCGAATCCTAACCCCCCTAAACCCTAAGCCAAACCCTAAACCCTAAGCCCTAAACCCTAAACCCGAAACTAAACCCTGAACCCCAAACCCCTCCCAAGCAAAACCTCAGGCCCCCAAGCTGCCAACAAGGATTCTTCTGACTCTGGCATGTGGCTACTTGGGAGGCCTAAGAGAGCTGAACCCTCAACTCCTGTAGCTTTATCTGGGTTCTGGAGTACCATGCTTGAATACTTTTTTATTGGACCTGTTCCTTTGTTGCTTAAAGGAACCAGTATAAAATAAAAGTCTATACTTTTGTTCACCCTGGTTACTTCAAAGTCCAGTTATAGCTTCGAGCCTCTGAGGGTTTAGAGGAGTTTTGGTTTCGGGTTTGGGGGCGTATTAGGGTTTAGGGTTTAGGATTTTTTGGGTTTTAGGGTTTATGGTTTAGGATCTTTAGGGTTTTAGGGTTTAGGGGTTTAGGGTTTAGGGGATCTAGAGGCATCGCGAGTTGACCGGGTTTTTTGTTGATGGCTCAAGTGCGACAGCTAGCATCCCGAAGCCCGTGGTAACCCAGACCGTGTGAGGATCACACACTTGAGAGTGCTTGATGACGATGGCGGTCAGGATCAGCTGTGGTCTGGTTTTGCTTTTTGGGGTGCAGGCGCTGGTCCAGCCACCGGCAAGACCCGAACAGGTGCAGGTATTGGGATGCTTCGGTGGCTCAAAGCCCAATTCAACTCGGTGTCAGGACGGCAAGTGTCTCGGTTCTTGTTGAGGAACCTTGTTTCCCTTATATGGGTCTGTAGCTGGGTATGTAGTAAAGAATTCAGACCTTTGGGCAAGAACCGAGGTGCTTCTACAGATGCGTCCACCCCGACTTCAACAGCACAGAGCTGGTTTGCAAGGAGCAAGAGACTCTACACATGGTGGGTGTCAGTGCCAGCGGCATAAGCTGGGCGTGCCAAGACCTCATCTCGTGTCCAGCAACTTGGTAGTCTAAATCGCATTGTTAGTATTTTTCAGTCTTCGCTTTCCAACCTAGGCGAGCAGCATTGTCTGATCCTCATTTCGCGCTCAGCGATTCGGTTGTCTAATTCGCGTTGTTGGTGGATCTCAACCCCCGACTTTTCAATCTGGAAGAGCAGCCCTGTCTGCTTCTGCGCATGAAATGGTCAACTAAGGTGAAGCCGACCCTCGTCGGATGCAACTGCACCGCTCAGAAGACTTGCATTTGGGCCTGTTCTTACTGGGGAGGCTCTAGCTTACACTGCATCCCAGGCAGCCTCGAATTTCTTGGGCCTGGACAAATTCTGCACTGTGCTGAAGGAAACGATCCCGAGACGTTGGGAGGGAAAGGGAAAGTGACGAACTGGGCCTGCTAGTCTCCGCCGACCACGCATGGATGCCTTCGGATGTACAGCCTAGGTGTGGTTGCGCCAACCAGCGCGCATTTTCAGTTTTGCAGGACCTTGTATAGTCCTAAAATCCTTAAACTCGAATCCCTCAGGATCATCACGTGCTGAAGCACACCTTGAAGGACCGAACTTCTTTTGTACTGCTGACGCACAGTCACGCAATCATGTTTGCCATGCTTCAGCTGGCTGCCTGTACAGATCTTCTTTTGATTTGCTGGCAGACCTGTTGATGCCATGCGATTGAAACGTCTGAAGCCTTCGTGAAAAAGAACATGGAATGGAAGTGAGGAGAGTCGCAAGACGGCCGTCAAGCACCAATCTGATGCGCCTTTAGGGGTGCTCCAGTCACACCAGAAAGTGATTACGTCCCTGATCCCCTATATAGCTCAATAACATCTCCAAGATGCGATGCCCCCGCCCCCAGTAGGACTGCGACCCAGTACAAGGCCCTACGAGAATTCTGCGAAGCCTGTTATAGCCATAGCCTGTTCGTTCCCGACAACAGAATGTGCTTGTTGAGACATGCGCAGTCCGTTCACCCGGCCTTGGATTCAGTTTCCCTGCCACTGGGTTAAGGTGTTCATGAAGTCGTCTTGCGTTCACCCATATGGTCCCGCCATCTAGTGCCTAGCAGGTCCAAGCACCTCAGCTGCAAGTCTTTCAACTCTATAAAGCCCTCACCAGCTGCTAGCCAGGATCTCCTTACTCTTAGCATGTGAGTAGTTGTCTAAATTAGGGTCCCTTTTTAATTTTTAGGTCCCCAATATAGTACGGCACATTTATAAAAGTGACCCTATTTTAGAAAACGACCCAAGCCTCACCGACGGTAGAGATAGCCGAGCACCAGCCTTGCTGTGGTAGACCCTAAGCTGGTGCAGCTTTGCCGGTTGAAGCCTCTCTGCAGCTCCGCAACAAGGCTTGGGGTTTAGAGTTCAGAGTTTCGGATTCGGTTTGGGGGGTTTGGGGGATTCAGAAGCATCGCGAGCAAGCTGATGTTTTTCTGATGGCTCAACTGCTACAGCTGGCATCCCAAGCCTGTGGTAGCCCAAGACAGCGTGAGTGAAGTTCACGTACCTGAGTGTTCCTTGAGGATGGCGGTCAGAATCAGCTGTGGCCTAGTTTTG